AATCAAGTCTTCAGTCACAAATCCTGTTCAACTGATGTGTTTGTGGGGACAATGTAAGGAAGATCAAAACGTGGCCCAGCATTTTTATTAACCCTGTAAATACACCAAAGGAAAGGGCTTACTTTGTATTTTAGTTGTAAAGAACAAGCTGAAGTGCTTCATTAGAGCAATGGGTTGAGCAAGGACATTCTGACCTTCAAACTTGTAAAGGGAGAGCAGCAGTTCTGGAGGCTGGCAGGCTGCTGGAGCAGGCTGAGGGAATCTCCCCTTTCCTCCCAAACCAATACTCTCAACTTCCTTCAGCTCTTGAAACCTCAATTTTCTCTTTGTGAGAACCTGGATTTCTGCAGTTCTTCTCCAGAATACTGGAGAGGAGGAATCACAAAATACCATCCGAATGCTCATCGTCCACACAGCGATCACTGAAGCTAAAAACCTGCTGAGGGGTTTTTGCAGCCTGACAGCAGCCTCTGAGCTGTCTCATTGCACAAACACATATTCCCCAGTCCGTGGGGACTGGACTGGTGTGGAAGAGGAGAGCTCACATCTGCAGAGGCACTTGCTTTTAGCCAACAGGAGCACAACTACCCATCAATCTGCCCGGAAAATTCTTGTTCAGAAGCACTTACTGGGGGAAAAGTGTCATATTTGGCAAACTAATAGGAGAACATTTGGATAAGGACACATTCATTTTGTGTGACTGGTGTCTGTAGCAGCTGCTGGTAAGGACCCAATTTTCACTTGTTTTATATACAGATTTATATTGGGACTGATCTTGTTTCTCCTCTTCATCACACCTCATTCAAAGGACATAAAACCCCGCAACACCGTCCAGCAGAAGTTTGCTGAAGGGTATAAAACCTGATCTGGCAGTGTCTTTGCTCCCATCTGTGCTGTCAAGGGGTGGTGAGGGACAGTGTCCCTTTTCCCTGGTGTCTGGTGTTGTTGTGTTTTTGCTTTAGTTTGTCATCTTCCTGTTTTTGAGTTACTCAGTTCCCTCTGGGCTATTGAAATGAGGAAACTGCCCTGCAAACTTATCAAAACCCAGAGCACATGAGCCAGTGGAGGTTGGGGAGGCTTGGCTATCTTATCTTGAGAGCAAGGTTCCCATTTCTGTGCCCCTGTGTTGCCATTTATTTTCTTCCCATTGCCCCTTTGCTGTTGCCTGCTGTGGAAGGCCAGTTGTGTGAGTACCTACAATTAGAGTCTTATTTTAGAGGACTTTTCAGTCCTCTCTGCTACATCTAGTAAGTCATTTGCTGATCCCAGTCCTCAGAGCTCCAGCTTTTGCTCTGCAGCTAAATAGAAGCAGCAGGAAGCGTGAAGTGGGAGTGAGCAGCACACTCATAAAAACTCCAGTGACACATCATCCAGTATCACTTTTTCCATGAAGCTCCTGAAGGCTGTGGAGAATAATTCAGTGTTATTAATAGCTACATGTCCGTGATGCTCGTGTTGCGGGGCTTTCCAAAAGGGCTCCTGCTTCCAGGAGTCCACGGTAACTGAACGGGGGATGAACCCTGGTTGTGGCCTTGGGGACACATCTTGCTACAGGAGTACCCAGGGTGTGCTAAGGGGGTGAGGTGAGCAGGGCTCCTGGCCTTTCTCATGCTCCGTGACCCCACGTAGCACGTGCAGGGTGAGGGAGTGATGTGAATCTCGTTTGGCAGATCTGCTGGCTGGGATTTCTCTGAAACCACTTGAAGGAACAGGGCACTGCATGTGTGTCAGGAGACAAGAGCAAAGGAGGCGAGAGAAGGGGGTTGGCCTGGTGAGACAGTGTCCCAGGTTGGCCAGAG